AGAGGTAAATTCAAGCCAAGCGCCCCGAAATGTAGCCAAGAGAGAGTTCCTTTTCCAAACACCCACGCAATTGCACAACGGAATCTTGCAAAATAGTGCGCAGTTTAAGGATTGGTTCACTTAATGCTAACTAATTGTCCGGCCGCTGGCAGTGCACAAGAGAGCCGGTGATGTTTCTCTGGGGTACTCGAAAATAGGCAAATTAGATGGAGGGGACTATAGTTACTTCAAAAAGTGTTCCATCGACCAAATCTCAATGCACGTTGCCAGTTTCAGACAGGCTGAGCTTTATAAGTCATGATAGCACCAACAAGCTATTCATTCCCTGAGCTGCAACCGCTTTCTCACCGGAGGAGCGCCGAATTTCATTTTAAATGACAAACAGGGCTGTGACTTGTCCTCCTGCCCCGAAGAAGCTTCGGGAACGAGGAGAGCCTCACCCCTGTTTTTTACCAATACAGCGACAAGCGAAACAGACGCAAGCCACCCTGAAACAGCAACCACAAAGCAAACATCTACGAGCCGGAGGAAGAAAAAAACACGCGAAAAGCGCCAGCCGCCCTTTTCGCACGCAGAGCGAGCAGACGTCGGGTTCTGGTTCTGGCTTCGGGCTCGCCATGGATGGCAAGTCCGGAGAGCCACGCCAGGGGCCCCTGGGAGTGCGGATCCCATCTCCCGTCGAACCATCCGCTTCTCCGTTTCCCTTAAGCAACGGCGTGAGGCTAAGAAGACACCCATATTAGTATATTTCTATAGGTATGTATCCCCTTTGCGTTGGCTTTGAGCGTCGCTTTTTCTGTTTTTTGTCGTGGAAGCTTGCGTTTCCCTCCCTGGGTTTCTTGACTCCTTTGTACTTCTTGAGAAGGTCATTTTCAGTGGCAAACAGCAGTCCTGAACTTTTACAAGGATCCACTCAGGATTGGAGTTTTGGATGGTGAAAAGAAGCAATTAAAAGGGTCGAACCTTTCGTTATTTTTTCTGTTGGCTGTCAAACCCCCAGTTGAAGGATGCAAGAATCCCAGAAAGCTCGTAAGGTCTTTTGGCCATGCACCCTGCGTAAATCAACCCCAGGAACAAAGCTGACTCGTTCCACTTGCCCAAGCCGAGCCTTTTATCTCTTTATTTTCCCATCTTGGTGGACCCGTTGTTTGGTTAAGGTTCCTTTTGACCATGACTTCAAGCAGTGTCTCAGTTGCTGCCAGGTGGGAACACCGAGCCCTGCCAAAGATGCAGGCGCAGCGCGCCGGCAATCCATTTTTTTGGGTTTGGGGGGGGGGGGGGGGGCGTTCGAGGGGCAGACACGGGACTCGCGACGTGTCCTACAAACACCCAGCAGAAAAACTGCATTGCGGAGCGTGGCTCACTAGGAGAGGTGGGGGAGGAGTACGATCAAGGACCCAAGAATCTACACCCCAAGCACCCACCGGTAGTTAGCCTTCGTTCGCCTTAGTTGGGCTGAAGGCTTGGTGTTTTGCAGAGCCTCTTTTGGCAGGGCCAGTGGGTTAGTTACAGCCTAAGGGAGCACGAAAACGCCGAATCCCCAGGCACGGAAGGCCTACAGATCAGTGGCAGTTTCTCGAAATGATATTTCGGACCCCTTTAGGTTGGCATTGAAAAGGAAACCGCAATGAAACCCAATCGTTTTAGGGGACCTTCAAGTGGTTTCCTTGGGTTTGCAGTTTCTATCCGAGCGAGCCATGAGCCAGGGCTCTCTCCCACAACCATTGGGCGAAGCCTTTGCCTTAGCTTCAGACGGCGTGCCTGCCAGATATTGCCGTATGTCTATGAATAGCCAACCACCTCAAAGCTTTGTGGCTGTTTGGTTGGGTCTTTGGACTTTACCGTGTTGTTGGATTTTCCATTGGACCCGCAAAAAGTAAGCTTTTTGCAGCGGACTCAACAGCAACCAAGAGAAAGGGGTTAGTGGACATGACTCGGGACCCCCCGATTTCTGATGTCCACCATACGGCCCTTGGGGTGAACTGCAACTTGTAATGTATTCCGTCCATTGGCGAAATCACCTGGAGACGGAGCACCCGTCTGTGAGCAGCGCCCATGTACCAAAGGTGATCCACCTTTCTCTCCAGGTCCTTTTGGCCAAGTGAGTGAAACTGCTGGGAGTTGGATGCATGATGCCATTGTCTTCCCGTGCTCATGGATTTGAACGTTTTTGGGCAGACCATTGTAGTGGAAAACAGCAAGTGTGGGCTTTTGTTTGGGCCATCCACTCAGGAAGTGAGTTTCTTGGCCCACCCTGGGGTCAGTAACAAACTTTGCGGAGCGCGGGTGTTTCCTCCCAATGTGAAGGGTTCACTTGAGAAATTGAGACCACCCTCTGTCAAGTAGGGATTGACTAATCCGAGCTCCCCATTCGTCGGAACTAGGCCACTCACGCCCGCGCCTCTTGTTGGCGCTGGGTTATTCAAAGGGTCAAGGAAGCAGCTTGTCTTTTGCTGGGTCCAATGTTTGCGGGGTGCCTGAGGTGAAGACGAGCACTTCAACAAGGAGCCGTGGAATGCAGGGGGGGGGCGGTCGCTTCAAGAGGGCAGAGTGCAGATATCCAAGGTGTAAGATAAGGCTGGTGGCCTCTAAGACACACAGTGCGGATTGTGGACAATGTAAGGTGTAGGGCTTTTCAATAAATTATGTTGAAAGCGGTGGGTGTTTACCTGCAATTTCCACCTGCACTTACCCACCTGCACTTACCCACCTGCAATTTCCAGAGGGTCAACAGCGGGCAAGTACCTGAGAAGCTGTAGGGAAACCGTTCTTGGTTCAAGGACAGGAACCAATGCACGCTAGCAAACGGTGAGCGGCTTTTTTGGATTGCACCCGTTCTTCGCCCGGCTCCTCGCGTAGTTCAGGGACCTAAACCACCCCCGTCCCACCTAGGGCTTAGTTTAGTTTGCATCCGCCAAACACCCTGGGGGTTCTGTTTCGGGTGCATTTTCTTCGTCCATGTACCTGGAGTCTCCACGACCCTTATGGGGTCAGTACCCCCTTATGTTGGGTAACCGGGGAGACTCCACGTCACAATGCATTCGCAAAATTCGCCACGCGAAGCCGGATCCGACCCTCACAATTCGGCGACAGGAGCAAGCCTTCTCGAGCTCCAGCGCCGAGGCGGCCCGCGGAAGCCCCAGAACTAACTTCCTCCTCGCGCGCAAGCGCAGGAGGCACGAGGAGGTGGCCCTAGGGATCCATCCCTACGTAGCCAACCCCCACCCCCCCCAAAAAAAAAAGAAGCAGATGAAAAAGACGGGTAAACCGCAGATTCTGCACAAGAGAATGGTTGACCCAAAGGGGGCATCGATACAGGCCAGGTAATCCTTAGTTGGTCGTGTGGATTGGTGGCTTCGGGATTTGAATGAGTGTGGAGGGAGAAGCCCCACTTGTAGTGACTGTGTCTTGAGAGTTCGTGAAATGCTCCCACATGGGGGTGTTGGTCGGCAGAGGTCTTCCCGTGTGATATGCCCGTTACTTCGGGCAAATGAATGGTTTACACAAATACCTGGCGCACAGTTTCTTTTATAAGCACCCTTCATTTGAATTAGTGAGTCAGAGTTTCCCAGACTTGCATGTGCAAATTAACGCCGGCCACGGATCTGCGGATGCCAGGTGTTTTGGTCCCAGTTAGTTGCGCTTAGCAACTTAGCAACTTCGCAACTGCTCGGTCCCAGTGGGGTTAAGATTAAATGTTCTCAGTGGGGTTAACCCGAAGTTTCTCAACTGGCCTGACTTTTTCAAAACATGGTTGTTGCTGGGAAACATTTCACATTTTTGCTTATATAAGGTTTACTGGGAAATCCACACTTAACAGCTAAAGTACAAATTTTCCGGTTCGACCGCGGGCTGAGGCCGCAAGAGTCGGGCCAAAGCGTGGCGCAAGCGCTTGGTGAAGGGCCTCAAGAAGCCGCGCCTCGCCTGGAGCCGTGAAGTCTTAACCGGTTTGTGCACCGGGATTTGGCATGGCTTGAGTTTTTTTTTGTTTTCTCGGTTTTTTGGTTCTGTTCATGTCTGGTGGGGGGGGAGCTTCAAAAAGCCACGTTTTTCGCCACCATGCCAAGGAGTTTGATGTTTTTTGCGGGATTTAACCGCAACATGGACATTTCGGTAGGCTCTCCCCCCTTCAAGGAGCGGGGCTGGGTTTTTAGTCGCATGTGTTCAACTTCATCCACGCGTGGCACATCCCCCAGGGCCTACCATTTTAGCCGCTTTACTGGTAATGTATTTAGCAATTTTGCCATCGATGTGATGCTCTCAACAACCACGCGGCATTTTTTGCCCCTGTGTGTTTTCCGTTGCTTTTTTTTTCTGGAGGCATATGTGCTTTCTCCCCTTATGGGGCCCCAAACGCAGTATCCCTTTTAGGGATACCCTACTTCGCCCCATTTGAAGCAGGATGAGTTCGCAGCATGGCAACGCAGGTGGCGGCGACAACAGCTTCAGCCCTCCTGGGAGACAGTTCGAACTGCCTTGGCCTTGGGCTTCGCTGTTCAAACTTCACGCGGTCTGCGCAGAGTTTACTTGGGTGGGTGTTTTTTTGTGCGGGTGCCCTTTCTAGGTTGGTTTAAGGGGAAGATAGGGGAAGCCAACAGGAACATCCATTAAACAAACACAATAAGGGGGCGTCCCATTTCTTGTTACACCCTCATGACTGTAAGTGTCCACGTACCTACTTGAATAAATTTGTGTGACTGTCAACTAGCGTCACACCCGTTCCTTGCTGCTTCTGAGTCTGTGGTGTTTGTGTGGCATTGGCCCTGGATCACTTTGTTGCAATTGGGTTTCACGAAGCCCTGCGATTCGGTCAGGTGGAGCTGCATGAAGAGGAGCGGAACCTCATCGCGCAAAAGCAGGTGGGAGCCGCGAGTGTTTTTTGTTTCAGATTGTCTTGCCGGTTCACAACAGGGAATGAGGGAATGAGGGAATGACCCCTACCAAAAACTCCTGGATGGTGTCCTTCAAGGGAATCCCCAGGTTCATTCCCAACATCCTGGGTCATTTCCTACCTATCGGGCCAGCAAGTTGTTTAAGTCTACGGGGGTCTCCTTAAGCAATGGGACCTTGGATCAAGCACCCCGCGCTTTTTGGCAGGGTCTAGGCCTTCTGGCTTGGCACCATGACATTTGAATCGAGGGCTCAATGACTGAAGATGTGTAGGGTCCCTGGAAGCTTGGGGCAGTACTTGCCTGAAGCCAGATCCTGGTGGAAATGAGCCGATTTCAGGAACGCGCAAGGCTTCTGACGACGCCTTGGACCAAAGCTGACTGACAACTCCTGGCTTGGGATGCAAGGTGTCGATCTCTCTGAAGTGTCGATCTGTTCGTTCACCTTGCAGGATCAGTCCTCAAGCCATGAATGGCACACGATATGGATTCTGATCCTGCATAGCCAAATGCCTGTCATGGGCGCAGCCTCACCGATGCGATTGCCAAATGCCCGGAGGCGTGCCAAGAGACAGGCCCAACTTGGATACTATCCCGATAATATCCCTGAAGAAGTGATGCCACAAAACTGACAACGCCTTGGCAAGGAAGCAGCGGAAAAAGAAGAAAACACACACGCGCAAGCTGGGAGAGGCCTCCCCAAGCCGATGAGCAGCGTTTGGCTTCAAGTTTGCCTGACACAACGGTGGGTTGCGATAGCCAGCTTTGCGAGGTGCTTACAGATGTCATGAAAAGTCTTGTTCCGCAGAACCCAGCTGTGTATGCACATAGGTTGCCTCTCACTTAATTGCTGTGGCCTGTACAGCTGGAGAGTTTACGCGCCAAGATGGGCGGTGGTTGCATAAACTCACGTAAATGATGTCCGCTAAAGATTTGTTTGCGATAAAAGGTGCGTTGCCACCTTCCAACCTCGCAACAAGCATCAATCCCCACATAAAGCCATGCTCCAGGATCCAAGTGCACCACTTCATACTCTAAGAGTCCTTTTTTTGCTTGGTCATTCACGCCAGTATTTGCCCTCCCTTCCACTAACATAGCACCTGTGCCAGGGTATCTGGAAGATCATTTTCCTCTTGTGGGGGCCCTCTGCCTTGTGCCATAGCAACGTGGGAGGTAGACTTTTGAGCAATACCCATATGGCACGTGGACGCTGGACAGGCACAGGGATGCCTCCTGAAATGGTGCTGGGTGCGGGCCCTCAGCCATTTTATCTTTTTTTGGGGGGGGGTCTGGACTTTAGGCGCTTGGTAAGGCGGTTACGGCTTGGCTCACTTCCCAAGCTCCGCTTCAGATACTTTTGGGTTTGGACCATTTTGGTGGAAAACTGAAAGTTCAGACTTTGTCCGGCCAATCTACTCAGGGTTCATCACCCTACTCAGGCAAATCTAGGGCCTTGAAGTGCCGAAAAGACCTGCTGCATTGCCCAGTGTAAGCAGCCCTTCTCCGAAGTGGGTGTTGGTTGGGTATCTTTGCTTGGCTGGATTAAAGAAAAGCTACAGCGAAAACCAACACCTGCAAGTGGAATACAGACGTGGGCCCACCCATTTTTTGGGTAAATTGCCCAAAGAAATGTTGCGCAGCTTGGCCGCCAACTGCTTGTTACTCACTATGGTCCCAACCCACAAACATGGAAGGGTCCTGGAAGACAAGACAATTTTCTCGAAAGGCCCCATCCACAAACATGGAAGGGTTCTGGAACACCACAAATCCTCGAAAGGGACCCCCTTTTCCCGGGTTCCATGGCACCGTGGACCAGAGGGCTCCTCTCGCCATCCACAAGGAAGGCGCCAGGTTCGCCAGCGCGTGCCGCAGGCCCTGCAGAACTGGGTGCTGGCGGCCTGCTGCGGCCCTCGGGAGTTGGTTGACATCGGCGCTTTTGTTTGGGCCCCCACCTGGGGTCTCCTCCCAAAGCGGTTTTTCGTTCTTAAAGCAAAAGGCATGGCAAGGACCGCTAAAAATATGTTGGGCTTTAACACGGAAACTCAAGGCACCTGGAGTCTCATGACCCGAAGAAGGGGGCATGACCCCTTATTGTTGGTAAATGCGCTGCATTTTTTAAGGCTCATGAGTAGGGCATGTTGAATGCTGTAGGCAAGTCTACATGGGCAATTTGCAGAAGATTGGAAGAACTTGAGCGACGGCTTCATGCAGTTGCGAACAGAAATAGACCCCAGCCGGTGAGTTCCATGACTTCATACTGTTCTGGACAGCCACTTTATATAGTGGTATGCGAAGAGGTTGGAAGTGTTTTTGCCCAAAACGATTCCCAGTGCCTTGAGGGGGGGCTGCACTAGTTCCGACGCTGGAATTCAGGGGTCGATCCGTAGTTGGTTGCTAGAGTGTCCCTTAGGGATCCTTGACTCTGCGGAGAGACCCCTCCCATTCATCTGCCAGTTTACAAATGGGTACTACCCTGTTTCGGGTGGTGTAAAAGGACGCCAAAAACAAGCACCCAAAATGGGGGGCCCATATTATGACACACCGAAATCCAACTTGTAGCACTTGTGTGAGGGCACCTGGAAGACAAATTCCTCGTGTTGGGAGGGCAAATGAGGTCACATGGTCGGTTGGGCGACCTACATTGACTTTCAAAGAGGAGTTTTCCTTAAAAATCAACCGCGGAAAGCGCTCTGCGCCCTTTTTCCCCAAATGGAAATCCACTTCGGACCATTTGACTCACCATAAAGCTCGGGTAATCGGAGAGCAGTAGGGGACAATCCCAGCCATAAATGGGTGCGGATATCCGCCTTGTCACTTCTTTACATATGGTTTTGGGCAGTCCATTTTTTACCTGGTTTTTGACTGTGACTCATTTCACGGCGCAGCCGCTCCGAGCGCCGAGTTGTGGGCGCACTTTGCTACGGCACTTACGTCATCATCGAGGTCTCTGTGAGGACCTTAGGCCAAGAACCTGGCGGCAAAGGCGGAGATTCCGCATCTGTTTGGTGGGCTTCCTGAGGCAAACCGTCACCCATTCTTTCACAGGAGGTTTTATGCGTGTTCGGGTTTACTAGCCAACCAGCCAACCAAAAGATTTTGATATGTTTTGTTGTTTCTTTTTCTTGTCCTGATTTGACTATCAGCCAACCCCACAACGGGTGAACTCTCCGAATGATAATAGTATTTTTCCCAACTCCTGGCCGCAAAGTAGCCAGGCATTCCTCGTTGGCCGACTCATTTAGTTAGCGTTTGGGGACCTAGGTGGCTACCCACCCATGAGTTGCCCAAGTGGAGTTAACCCCGCAGTGGCTGAATGCCTTGCCGCCTGGGCTGCTAACCAGGTACCATCTTGGCAGAGCATGCTAAAACTATCCCTATCGCTGCAAGCCGGCCCAACCGACTTTTTGCCACTGGGATTTTAAGAGTGTACAAGGTGTTGGTTTGGGCGGCTAGGCTGCTTGGGGCCGGGGTTTACGGTTTTTGGGGTTTAGGCTGTGGTTGGGGGCCAGATTCGAGGTTAGGCTGGCCTTTGTTGCTTAGGACTCAGGTTCGGGGCCTTGGAACCCATTGCCGCTCCTAAGGATAGCCGGTTTCACCAGGCTCCCCCATCCTGCTTTGCATGGGCGGATGGGCGGTTCCTTTGAAGACACTGCAGCCATAGGGAAGCCTTTGAAGGCAGTTTCAGGTATGTGTTCTGGAGGTATGGACCTTGTGCTACTTATTCAAGGTGTACTGCGTTTGCAAGCTTATCTTTCTATATATATATATATTATACATCTTAAATGCATATAAGGACCCATACCTCGAAAAGTCATCATACCTCGAAATGCCCTTGACAATTTCCTTTCATCCATGGTGTTTGGCGATTGGGGTTGACAACAGCCTGGGAGCGAGCTGCAATATGGAGCTGAGGGTTTTGTGGAATTCATAATATTGGGCTAGCATGAGACCACCTTCCGCACCCAGATGTGTGGTGGATCTAGCATCCGAGGTTCGTTTTGGATGCTAGGTTTGTTATATTTCGACAGCCGGAGAGGGTCAGGATTCATCCGAGGGGGTTTTGTGCAAGTCGGAGGAGGGTGGGCTACTCTTGAAGGGGAGGGGTGCCCTTGATCCAAGAACATTGTAATGATTATGCTGCTTCCGGCTGGTCATGTTTGGTTCCCAAAAACTGGAATTGGCAACCCTTCAGGCTGAAAGGAATCAGAGTTGGAGAACTATTGTCAATAGCCTTGGCAGTGGGAGAAACATGTTTTGACATGTTGGGATTTTGTCCCGCACAGGGACGGCTTCAATCAGATTTCTGGGAGGTGCCAAGAAAGTATTCAGAGGGGTCTTTCGACCAAAGCTTGTGGAAGTAGTATTGGCTGGCAGTCGGCTGGAAGAATCGGGCAATCTTTAGTCAGAGGGGGGTAATCATGTGCCGATATTACTGCAAGTTATGGAGTTTGGAATTTTTGAATCAGGATTGCCGCCGACGCTGTTTATGTTGCCAAGGCACTGTTCGTGGATGCGCTCATGAAGCGATGCTGGTTCTTGACGTGCTTGTGATGATGGCTGTCGGCCCCATCTCGTGGTCTCGGACGCTATGCAGCGGTTGCAGGAGAAGCACCGGGGCACGATGTTTAAGAGCATGGCGGAGCATGATTTGGCGGGAGGCGGGAGGTAGACGGCGCTGACGCTGACAGAGCAAACTCGCTGGTCAGCAAGGCAACCATGCCGTTTTCGCAGAAATCAAGCAAATAATCCACACCGAGATGTACCTGAAAGGCGGCGATTTTGGGTTATGGTTTTCAGATCCTGCTGCATTGCCCGTATTTGGGTTCCATTCCCCTTAAAGGAAACCAACATGCAGGGAATGGATGGTTGGTTTCTCCCAGACCTTCTCTTTGGGTGTCTCACAATAGGGGCACCTCCAAAATAAGTGGTTTCCTGTTGGTTTCCCTTTCAACCCGCCCCAAAAAGGGCACCCGCACAAAAAGACGGGCGACTCATTTGACCCTCGGATCCAGGTGAATGCGCTGTCCTCCTTTCGCTTTGGCTTTTGCCAAGCTGAGCCTTTCAGGCCGGGCAAAGTTGACGGGAATGTGGGTGTGCAATATACTTATGTGGTGGGGGGGGGGGGGCGTGGGAGGGGGTAGGGGGTGGGGGAAATAAGAGAATGGAGGCTTGCAGTACTTTAGCATCAAATTAGAAGTGATTGCAGGGGAACAAGGTAGATTTCGTTAGTCTATAGTATGTGGTTGAGGTTCGGTACCCTTTTTGGAGTTTGAGTTGCCTAAAGCCACAGGATGTAGGCTCGGAGGAAGGCCAAATAAACCCACACGAAGGGAATTTGGGCACATCTATCACCATTGGAATTTGGTGGATCGTGCAAAGTGGGGTGTTTACGCGGGAGGTGGGTTCCGGCTGGGGGGGGACTGCTGTAGAGTTTGATGCGTGCAAGATAAGGCGTGCGGAGCCATTCCCTGAGCTGACCCCTTTGCAGTTTGAAAGGTCAAAGGGAAACCAACCCATGTGTCGTCCAAGCCCCACACCAAAAAATGAAAGAGCCTAGATCGGGCCCTTTGTATTATTTGTGTGGCCTCTGCGCCCATGCATGTAGGGATTCCCTTGACTGACACCTTTCCAAGTGGATGCAGCTGAGAGCTTGGATTCGGCGTCATTGAACTCTACTGTACTTTGCATGTCAGGTGAAGGTAGAGGCAAGCCCGGTTTGAAATTCGGCCACTTGCCCGTAGGCGTTCCACATCTAGTCTAATGTACGGAAGAGGGCGTCTTCGTCATACGCGGTCCCTTTGCGCAGTGCAACAAGTGGATGGCAGCGCTCCACCGTTCAACCACTTCTGGGATCTTTCCAACAATATCTTTGAACTTTTGGGTAGGCTAAATTTGATATGAAGCAGCAACTGAAAATGAATTTTGGTGTACCCCAGATTTGGACCACGCATGGTGGATGCAACAACATAAAATGCAAGTACGCAAGCAGAGACACCTTGTAATTCACCGCAAGATGCTAGTTCTTTGGCTCGATGTGGTTACTTTACTCAGAACAACCCACTGGCGGAATTTTAGGCTTATGCCTGGCTTCCGCAGGGGTTCCCTTTTTCCGGCACAGGAGCGAGGAGCATTGCCCCAAGGGCCAGTGGGCCGTCGGCTCGGACGAAGCCCGCAACGCGCAGGTTGACGTATCAATGCGTATTATAGCACAGGGCGTGGCTCAAAATTCAAGACCCAGGGTTGCGCAGGTTTAAGTCTTTGTTTCCAGTTTCCAAGGTACCTATTTGGGTACTTTTTGTTGAGCCACGGCCATAATATGTGTTGAATTGGGCCCTGTGCAATCCAAAGAGCTGGCAACGAGCAGTTGAAACCAGGCGATCGCTGGCTGAAGTCCGCTCCCAATGACTCCAAATAAACCCCGAAGCGTCTCGCGGTTTTCGTCCCTACCGCCTTTTCGGCGGTTCCTGAGACCTCCTGGGGCACCAACCTGATCGGCTTCGCCGCCTCTGTGGTGCTAGGCGGGCGGTTTCGGCAGCGGAAGCGGGGGAGGTGTTCGTCGGATCCGGCTCGCCTCGGTGGAAGGGCGGTCATTGCGCCGTGTTTGGTGATCCCATGGAAGTTTCAAGGGGCAATGTTTGGACACATGCCTTAGTTGTTATCCAATGATTGTTGCCTGGGAACGCCATTGAAACCGAGATTCTCAAGAAGAAATGATTTACGAATGGGTGGCAGTCAGGACTTGTGAGCCACCTTGGAATATTCAGTGGCCCTTGGCCACTCACAGGAATCAGGAAGTGTCTACTTAAATCAAATTTCAGCCTGGCAAAAGGACACACTCTTCTAGTTGGCAATAAAATGGGACCAACTCAAAGGGGAAGAAATACTGAAAACCCTGTAGAACCCCAAGTACGGCTACATATTGCCCTAGCAAGGGGTCTTCAGGGGCAGGCAGCACAAGGCCAATGTGATACTCTGCAACAAATGGATTCACTGACGGTTTCCTCCACACCAAATTCACTTTCTTTGATAACCAACCAACAATTGGGAGACATGGGGAACCCGGGCGCTGTTCTGCTGGCTTCCGTGTCAGGGAACCGATTGAGCGGGAAGGGAATCAACTACTCAACGATATGGGCATGTCTTTTTTGGTGGGTACACATTTTTGGAAAAATGAAGGGAAAACGAAAGGAAAGCCACTTTTTGTTTATAAGGGGGAACCCTCAAAAAGAGGCCGCCCAATTTTGGAAGTCGCCCATGTTGCACCATGGTGCAAGGCATTGGCAAGGATCACCGGGCACCGAGATATTCTTCGCCGGTCTTGGCGTATGTGGTTGAAATGTTTGCATGGTTTTGTCCCACTCAGCGTTTGTCTGGGGCTGCAAAGAACTTTAGCAGGCGACATGCAAGGGCTAGGCAATTGTGTTCGATGTTTTATTCTGGGATGATCAGTTTTGTGTTGTCCAGGCTGGGTCTTTGGTGTGACCTTAGCCTCTGAGGCCTGTTGGAAACAAATGCCTTTTGTTCCCTCCGAAAGGTTGGGACATTTCTCTAGCCTCCCGGAGTTCAATCCACAGTGTCTTTGTTCAGTGGATTTGTTGAGGCTTTAGAAGGGAAGCCGATGGGAAACCCATGCATTTTGGCTTTGGAAAGTATGTGTTCCCCCACCATGCAGAGCAAACCAACTGTTAGGGGCAGCAGCCAGACCCTAAAGGAGTCCTAATAGCCAAGCCCACCATCGTCATGTCCCACTTGCTGAGTTCCTGCACTTTGTACCTTCTGGGAAGGCCATGTTGGTGGCCTCAAAAGCTCAGATTTTTGTTGGCCGATCCACTCAGGGATCCGTTTTGTTGTTTTTCTCCCAGGGCTCTTTTTCATTTTTACTGGGGCTGGTTTTACTAGTAAGAAAAATCACCGTTCCCATCCACTCAGAAAGTGAGAAGAGCCCATTGAGGATCACCCAAAGTTGTAACTGAGTATCACCGAGTCCCACCTTTCCACCCGAGGCACTTGGATGGCGGCCGCATCGGCCCTGCGGCCCAGGCTATACGGACCGGTCGTCTCGTCCCAGCCCGGGCCGGGCCGGGCCAAAGCTGTGCCCGCACCAAAACGTGAAAGGTCATCTTGGTTGTTAGCGGTGGTCTGCTCAATTTTTGTTTGGGTCCCCACAGGAGCAAGGTGCCAGGCTTTCAACCGGTCCATTTGTTCACGGCCCAATCTCAGTTCCAAGGCATAAGCTTCCAACTTTGAGCCTAGAGTTGCGAGGTCTGACATCTCCCACCAAAAGAGAAAGCTAAGATGTCGACCTCCAGTAGTGGCCTTTACTCTTTTGGGGATGTCCCTTTAAATTCAACTATCCAAAACAAAATTGAAAAAAGCACTGGGGGTTTGGGATGTTTAGGGATGAAAGAACCAGCCAAATGTGAATTTCCAGGTCCTCAATTGCCCTGCCCGTAATTAAGCCTGTAAGGTGCCGAGAAATGCCACGACTGGGGCAGGATGACGAGTCAACCAAGAGTGACGATTGCCTCTTTCCGGGCCGTTCATCCAGATGTCGTCGTGTGATAACCCTGTTGGTTTGCCCCTCTGCCTGCCAGGGGTGGTTCTGTTTAGTCCAGCTGCCTTGTTGGACAATATGTGTGACCTCCTCAATCGTGTAGGTCCTCATTGGGGTATACCAACGCGTTGAAGGATCAGCCGGTTGCAAAGATCCTCGCGCAGCTGGACCGTCATGGTCTGGCCAAAGCGTTCATTTTTGCCATAAGCATGCGCACATGCCTGCGTCAGTAAGTGCGCAATGCTCGCGCATTCCATTCGGAAGCATGCATACATAACATGCATGCATAATTTATCATTCCTTTATCCGTTGACTCGTTCGTTCATTTGCGTCGTTAATCGGTTGATAAGTTGTTTGTTCTCTGTTTGTCTTTATTCATTCATTAATTGAGTTCGTTCACTCATCCATTTGTTCAGTCATTGAGTTTTGTTCAACTCCACCCTATTCATTTCATTTATACTTTCCCGCACGTACGTGCGCGCATACAGGCATCATTACATTCGTGCATGCTTACGTGCTCACATGCATACTGCCCATACCTGCATGCTTGCATGTATGCATGAGGGCCGTCCTAAAATCCCAGTCTTCGGTTTTAATTATCGCCGAACGGGGAGAAGTAAAAGTTGTCAAAAGCTGCGCGCGCAAGGAGCGCGCAAGTGCGGCCCAAGGGACGCGCAAGGGTTACAGTTTTGAAGGGTTTCATGCACTGATGTTGCCTAGCTTCATGAAAGGAGGTGATATTTTCTTGCTGTACTTGTGCTTTTCGAATCAGTCAGACGCCGAACGAAGCCAAAGCTTCTGCGGTCATGACTTCAACAATCAGCAACTGACACGACAAAATCCGCGCAAGCCGCGCGCAAGCCGCGCGCAAGTTGCGCGCAAGCACGAGAAGCCCCAGCAAGACATCTAGCCATGCTCTCGGATGTCCTCAGTGGCGCGGTTCAAGCAATGGATCGGCAACCGCAACATGCACTTTCCTTCTTTCAGGCTGTGTCCAAGCTGTGTGGCAGAGCTGCTGTTCTTTCTGTTGAGTCAAGGGTATGTTGCTGGCATTGAATTGCCGGGAGCGACCTCAGCGGGAAAAGTCTTTGTGGGTTGCTGTGTGAACGACGACAGACACACTGCATAGAAAAGCTTGCGCGCAATCCACACGAAAACTTCGCAAACCGAGGTCAACGAAAACAAGTTTCTGCGCCACTGTGCGCGCGCAAGTCCGCGCAAGTGCCGCGCAAGTGCGGCCCAAGGGCCCAATCGCGGGCAAAGGAATATAGGACAACCCCCACATACACTATTATACTGGCATGGACGCTTACAATTGTTTGGCTCGTTGGCTCGGTTCATCTTCAGGGTGGTTGCACACATTGGTTTGTGGCTAAGGCTTGCATTTGTTTGGTGTCCCACTACATGTTAGGGATTAGGGTGCTTCCAGATATGATACTGTGGATGGACGGAATCCTGCACCACCTAAGAAACCCTGGAATGATGATTCCCTGTAAAAACCAACAAGCAATGGCTGCCCATGGTTTCAAAGTGGTGCAGGATTTCGTCCATCCGCAGTAGGACACCAGGGCTTCTTGGCATGAGCACACCGATCCTGAGGCAAAAAAAAGATCACCCGTGAAGGTCCCTAAAGGAATCTCCTTAGTTCATATTTGGGAGTTCAGACTTTGTCTGGACACCAACAAGGGGTGGTTCATTTTGGATTGTTCTCCAGATTTTGGTTTGGAACTTTAATGTGTTCCAGGTGATTTTCCGCAATGGGCCCCTTCTCAGCACTTAGATTCCTTCCGGGCTTTTGCTGGCTTTTCCCTTTGAACCGCTTTGTGGATGCCAAGAGGCTTCTTGGCCGCTTAGATTCCTTGATCCATTTGGAGCAGAAGCCCCCATCATCTTGCAGGATGGTTACCTGGCCGGTATTCCATTGCCCGGCCTCCCCCAACGAATCTGACAAAGACCACTCATTATATTTACATGCTCACTCCGCATATGTCTCAGTTGTTCAGTGGCTCCCTTTTCCTTTTTGTTTTGGAGGGGTGGCTGCCCCACTAAAATGGTCCAAGCCCAAAAAAGGGTTCCCTTTTTTTCCAGAGTCACTGAACAACTGAGATGTGTGTGTCTTGGCTGGGAATGTGCCTGGGCACCTTAAGCCAACGGATCACAAATTCGGATCCGATCCGAGGCCTTCATCGTGAGCCGCTTCGCCCCGGCGGCCAGCGGCTCCGGCATCCCGGAGGCCGAGGTTTTGGCGGCTGGTTTTGGGGGGCGCCATGGACACCTCGAGTCATTCTACCCACAGCACGTGTGGCTCGCCCAGAACCACCTTGTTCCACTTTCTGGCCTCATTCCAGCCTCTACTTTGGGAAGGTTTTCAAGGGAAAATGGAGAGGAGAGAGGAGCGAGGGAGGGGCATGGAGGGTTTTGGAGGTACTGTGGATGGACTAGAACCATGTCGCACCACCTAGGAAGTCATGAGTGAAACCAGAGCGTTTGTTGGTATTTACCGGGGAATAACATCATTCCAGGGTTTCTGAGGATTTGGTCAATCCACCGTAGATATATACTGCTGAAAAGGTTCATACTGCCTTACAGGCTTGTATATACATGTATATATATATATGTGTGTGTGTGTGTTAAACAGGTGAACCCTTTACTGGAAAGTGCCCTTGAACTTGGATGTTCAACACATGTTGTTGATCTTAGGCGAGACAAAACTCGACCCTCTCACAAAAAATGCGCTTTGGCGTATGCCAGGTGTGGGCCAAGATGATGATTGATCCGCCACTGGCCTTTGCCAGACTTACCTCGCCCTTTTTACTTGCAGAAAGTTGGCACCAGAAAGTTGACTTTCCTGGAGAGGGCTTCCCCGCCTCGCCCGGCACAGGACCTGACGGGGGGTGCCCTGGAAGACCATTTCCCGGAAAAGGAGAAGGAGTTTCACACCTTTCGGGGTGTAGGGATGTGGCGACTTGGGGGCCTTGGGGCCTAGGGGCCTTGACGTTCTATGAGTTGGGGCGTTTTTTTTATCCTTTCAGGATTCGCCAAAGTCTCACATCTGCTTGAAGCATATGTTGGCAGGCTCAAGGTTCACACCACTCGAAGATACGGGCTTTGGTTGGGCAGCTGAGGCAATGGGTCGAGTCCACGTCAGGTGAAAACCATCCTGAACGGATTTGTGCTTCCAGACGTCCCGGCCTCGGGCTTGCCGAAACCCGGCACTCGCCTTCCAGATTCCAGGTTGCCAGTTGGTCAAAAGGTCCGGTGGACATGGGAGGACCATTGGGAGAAAACCAAAAACAGTTAATATGCCAATCACTACAACAGTTATGCACCAAAGGAAAGGAGCCCTTGTGCGCTGAAAGTTAGGGCCCATCCTGCAAGCTCATTTGATGGTTCCGCGGGGTCCCAGCTTCAGATTTGTATGCCCAAGTACTCTTGGTTGCCAATGAAGTTGCTTTCTTGAGGAGATTCCAATTTTGAGTTTCAGCTTGATTTGTAAATTCAGTAGCTCTCCTTTGAACATTGCTAGGTACTGCAAGAGAACTCCGGCTTGGAGCTATGAATGTTAGAAATTCCCACCACTTTTTATTTCTACAAGTGGTTGGCTTGTCGCATTTGGTGGTTTGCATGTGGTTTGGGAATTTGACCCTCTGCTTCTTGAGGGTATATGGAATTGCCAACCGCACCACCTCCGAGCCACCAAACTTCACCAATTAGGGGTAAGGCGACGTGGCTGGGGTAGTGGTTTTATTCCCCCTTTGGTGGAAGGCAAGCTGATCAATTGGAAGCTGTTTTTTTCTCAAGAAAAACTGGTACCTACTGTGGATGGACGAAATCCTGCGCCACCTAGGAAACATGGCTGAAACCATTGGGTTCCTTGGTAGTTGCCGGAAACGTTCGGTTTTGGTTGGACATAACAGTTACGGCACGAAGTCCGCAACATGAACTTCCCAACCCTGCACCGTTTCCCTTTCACCCACCATGAGTCCCCAAAGAACTGGCGACCTTGTTTTTTCTTGGTTTTTTACTGGTGACCTTTTTTTTCCAACCCCATCATGAATCCCAGGGTTGATTTTTTGGCTGCGGAGGTGGTGACCTTCAGGACCTTGTTCATCAAGGCCCGGCCGAAGACACGCGGAGCTTCGTTGGGCCCCGGGCAAATTGAGGTGGACAGGTGGGTGGGGCTCAAAATTAAAGAAGGAGGATCCCTAGAATCTAACTTGCCGGTGCTCAGCCGGAAACGGCTGGGGCTGGAATTTGAAGAGCCGGGCTTCAGCCAGGTGTTGGTTTTCGGTCCCATTTGCCAATGCGCCATTTTGGTTTTCATGTTTTGCGCCACAGCCGTGTCACCGCTGTGTTCTTCGGGGCCTGGGGCCTCGGTCGGCCAGGTGCCTTGCCTCATCCTCGCGGTGGCCTCCGGGCTCTCGCTGGGGCATGAGGGCCGGGAGCTGAGTCCTCGAAGACGCCCTCCTGGGGACGAAGTCCGAGACCTGAGAAGTCCCCGGTAATGCTGCGATCCCCCGGTTGATTTCCAACCAAAAAATGGTTGAAGAACAAAATGCGGAGCGAAGAAAGAATGGGTTCAACCATGGGTCTCATTTCGTGGTGCGACATGGACTTCGTCCATGCCCATCCGGCGAGGAATTTTCTTGTGTGCATCCAAGCAGTTTGAGCACATTGCCTTTGCTATTGGGAAAGAGCCCGACCTGCAAACTACTGAGCTCCAAACCAAAGGGAGGCTGATTGGGAAAGGAGCTTGGCCTTTCATTGCAGTTCCAATTGCCGGGCCCCTCAAACCATCCCACCAAAGACCCTACAACCTGCAAGGCCTTAGTCGAGGCGCATGAACCTGTGGTTTGGCCGTTTCACGTACGTTGAAGCCAAATGGGGAAGGCCCCCAAACCACAAATCTCAACAGCCGATTATGGATAAGGTGAAGCTTGGTTTGTGATCCACTCGGCCGGTTAGGGCCTATGGTGCATGTGGCCGTTTGCTGGGCCAATCTTCTGCCGGGGCCCCAGTTTTCTGGGCCGGGACCGAGAGGGGGCTTGAGGCTCGCACAGACCCTTTCCGGGCTAGGGGTTAATAAATAGCAAGCCTCAGTAGAGCCAAAGCTGTGAATTTGAATTGGGGACCCTTTGGCCAACCATTTGGAAAGGTATTTCTCATTTTGACCCAAGTACGTAAAGCCAAGCAAGGACTGAACAATCCTGGACGATCCTGGAGAAAAACGGAGGGGTCGGTAGGGTTCCCTGCTTGTGCCATTGTAAGTCGGGGTTGGCATCCAAACCAACCTTTGGACCCTTGGAGTGTAAGGTGACCCCGGATGAACGAAGGAGGGGTAGTGCCAGCGATAGGTCAGAGAGCTCAGGGCCCACGGAGAGAAGCCAGCAGCTTCCTGGAATTAAGGGACCCGATCCGCGCCTGGCCAAAACGGCCCCGGAAAATCTGGGGTCATTATTTTGATGGTGTCTGGGGGTTATCAAACTCAGTCAATGGGGTCGTCCCTTTAACCCACCACTTGGAGGGTGACTTTGATCGGCCAGAAAACTCCGAAGAATTAAGGCCTGAATTGCGCTGTTGTCTTTCTTTGAGGCTTATTGGCGCTGGGTCGCTGAGAAATAGAAATCAGCATCCGCTGCCATCCTTTGCCGGGAATCCCCGGAAACCTTGTGCCGAGGTCGCGCTTCTTCCCCCAGTTTCGGAACGAAGGAAAGAGGCGCGCTGGCGATCGATCGATCGGCATGCATCAACTCGCCGGCTGTTTCTGCCACTGCCGAATCCAACTTGGACTTGGACGTCATTCATTTCTTACTCTTTTCGCACTCTTTCAGCACTCTTGGGTGGAGCTGCTGGAAGCAAGGGTCTAGTGTTCACTCGCCCCTTGCACCCAGGGTCCCCAGGCAAGAGACTGGAGCGAGTTGGCCTGCCTCAGGCTCTTTGGAAACCGAGGCGTCCTCTTTGAGTGCCCTCTTCCACATTGTTTGGTTGCTTGGTTACATGCGGTGCCGAAGGTGTCAGGGTTTGCTACTGGAAATTCCGGGGTGTTCAGCTGGGGGCCAGAGCTTGGGGGAAGATGGAGTTCGGCAGGTCCAACCCCACTCCGCGCCCTCCCTTTTAAAGACGGCCCAAGGGGTCTTTTCGGAGGTTTTGATTTCCATCTGGTTTCGTGGGCTTTAACTTTTTGCCAACTAATGGGCTTTCCGTACTAAAAGTACTAAAAGTTTTCAACTTGGTAGCCGGGGAGCAGATTTCGCCACCGGGAAGATGTCTCCGCCCCTTTCCTTTTCGCCTTTCCGCCCGGCGCCTTTTCGCCGCCGACGGCGCGGCCCCCAGGCAACAGCTTTTCTCTGCCGCGGTGGCGGCAGGAGCGCGGTGCCCTGGTGCTGGTGCCCTCGGTGCCCGTCAAATGGTTTCGTCCAGATGGACCCTCGGAAGTCCCGGGGAAATTGGAGCGAACTGGAGATGACCCCGGGGTGAATCCCTTTTTTTAATGATATTATGGGTAAAGAAACTACCCGGACCCCTCAAAATTCCCTTAAACATGGGTCTGTGCCAAAAAAAAACTGGGGGTGAATTCTCCTTTTTTTGGTAGTTTGAGGGTCCAGGTAAGCGGAATTGTTACTCGGATGAACCTAGGTAGGTTATAATTATAACCCAGGCTAGAACTGGCCGTTATCTGGGTGAAGAGAGCTGTCGGACTCTCTAAATATGGGTGGTCATAGTCATGGCTCCCTGACTGGATTCGAACAACTCATTTAGGTCAATGTTTCAAACACCAGCCACATGTAAGAAATTTCCCCATCGATACCTATGGTGGATGAACGGAATCCATGTGTCCCCACCCTTCAGGCCCTTGGCATGATTCGATTCTTCTTCGTTTGTTGTTTCCCCGTAGCAAACGGTACGGTCTCTCATTCCCCTTGGTCTCTCTCATTCACCGTGGTGTAAGGTTTGGATTTCGATCTGAACCATCCACCGTAGCTTTCAGCTGTTGAGAAAGCCCACCAACCAAGAGAAAGGCAAACCCCACCACCTAGACCCCACAATGGATACCCCGGATGAATAAACCCCGGATTTGCGGGTTTCAATTTCAAACCGAGTATGGACATGTTCAAGGAAAACCGGGGGCTCTAACAGGAGTGGGTTATATATATATATATTTTTTTCGCCCTGGGTCAGCCATCCTTCTCTCGGCTTGCCGCGTTCGGTGCTTGGTGGTTCCCAGCCATCCCCTTAGCTTTTTGGCGTTTTAGGCTTGGTGGTAGTTTCCATTTCACCCACTAAAAGTTGAACTTTTTTTGCAAGGGATCTGAGGGCAGCCCAGGGTGGAACACCGGAAGAGTGGGTTAAGTATTTTCATCCTGGGTCAGCCGTCCTTCTCTCGGCGTTCGCAGTGTTCGGTGGAGCACTCCAAAACATGATTATTAAAAAAAAAAAAAAAAAAAAACACGAAGAGCCGCCGAGGTGAGCTCAGCCTTCGGCACCCCGGTGGGCGGGGTTCTCTTCAGCCTGGAGGAGGCGAGAGCTGGCTATGGACCGAGTCGGCTGGCTATGGACCTGGGCAGCTGATCTAGCTCCGTTTTGCTTATATGTGTTTTTGGACGATTTAATTCTGTTGGTTTTAAAGGGAATCAGCTTCACTACTGGACATGTTGTTTGTTTGTGTCTTTATTTCTTCGGGGGGGTTAAGAAACTGAAGGCATAGAGACGTCACGCAACGAGGGGGCTTTGTGAGTCTCGCATCAAGCTTTCAGAAGGTTCCCTGATTTTTGGCTGGTGAAGTATGATCGATTTCCTGGTGGAACCCCTGTTTGTTGGTAGCTTGCATAGGTTGGAGGCATTTGGGGTATGCCCTGAGCTTTTAGGGTACATAACAGTGCATGCTCGCAATCGCTCCCTTGAACATGACCTTCAGCACATCCACCGCACATCCAAAACTGGCAACTGACGGGGTTTTGAAAGACGGTTCTGTCGGGGGAGGCCCCTGCCCAAATCAATGATTGCAAGGACCCAATAAACTTTGAAACCATCCCCCCTTTTCGGTTCGCCACTAGGGGTGCACTCGATACCTCAGCCCTTGAACATGAATTTGGTACAGCAAGGAGACCTATGGGAAGGTCATGACCAGTCCGCGGTCGTCACTTGGCTGTGGCTTTCTGTGACCGTGAGTTGTAGACGCGTGTGAGTCACAGTTGCAACCCAGGTAAGTGAAGGTGGGGCGGTCTCAACAATAGCTGGGGATCGGTAGGGTTCTTGACATTGGGTACATCCCTCTCGCTAAATCCGATTAGCTTTTGGTGTCTTCAGGTTTCGTCCGTTTGTCTGGGTGAGAGGCTAGCCCTGCCTGTGCCTCACCGGTTGCTGCGAATTCGCCTGAAGGAAGCATCGGGGCTCAAGCTTGCGGCAAGGTCCGCAGGGCCAAAAGCGCTGATCCGGTTGCTTGCGGACCCCGGATCTTGCCGGAAAAACGCCCGTTGAGAAAGGCCCGAGCAACACCAAGCACCACAGCACGCCAAGCAGCCAGCCCTTTTTCCAAGCGCGGGCACGAAGGAATGCACCAACGGACGTCCCTTTGCTCCGTTTCTTGGGAACCTACGCGCCCAAACGGGCGCTTGCGGCGGCCATTTCCGGTGGATGCGCCGAAAAAGGCGGCCATGGCATCTCGGAAGCCCAGTCTCCGGAATGGCTCCTCCGAGGACCTGCGGCATGCCACAGCACCTCGGAGATAGCGCAAGGCGTGTTTGGCGCAGCCAGGTCAGTCCGGGCGAAGGATTTCATAGTTCTAGGGGACACCTCCCCATTCTTTCCAGGGATCCGGATCTTTCCAGAAAACCATCAGAACTCCAGGATAAAGCAGATTTTTAAAAAGAACGATGGTTGAACAGACTTAGAATAGTGACGTGAATATAGCAAGACCTGCTCGAAGAACAAGCCCAGGTGACATCCCAAACAACCACCTCAGTGGGAAACCCACCAAACAAAAAAGGCAAAGAACCACTGGCAAGACCTGGGATAGTTAAACATCTGCCAGAAATGAGGGTTTCCAGTGTTGCGCAGTTTCCCCAGTGACCAAGCGGTAGCTGGCGCATGCCGGTGCCCAGGTGCTTGCGAAGGAGGGCCTGGAGAACGTGGTGAACTTTACGCGTCCTGGTTCTATGGCGTACCCGGCCGGCCGAGTTGGGCACATAGGTGTCGCTTTTTGGTTGGTTGGGTGAACCAATAGAGGGCCCTGGTTCACCTGGTGGTTCAGTCATCTACCAGGGCCATCGATTTTCCAAAAAAGACACCTATGGCTGGGCAGTTCAGGTTCATACTCCGGCCTTGCCAAAACCGCTTGGTGGGTTCATTCAGCTTGGTATGTTTTTGCAATTGTGGTACACACACACTGGCGGAGATGAGTTCTACGAGTCGTCTCAGAGTTGGTGGTATGGATTAGTGGCTTGGAGGTTGCACCTCAGCACTTTGTCTGCAGCTTAACTTCCACATTGTGCTTGCTGGTGCCCAGTTGGGAATGACCATCAATAATTTGGGGAAGGAACCGGCAGGGGTTGCCCTTAGAGGAAACCGTAAGGGATGGTTTTTCTCGGGGTCATTCAATTTCTCATTCCCTTCCCATCGAACCAGCAAGTCTTTCCCAGAAATTCCATGAGAAACACTTGAAGAAGTCTTGCGTGAACAGCACGGGGAACCAACCGCTAGAAGACTGGGACTCAGATGCCCAAACCCCTCCAAACTGGCAACTGAGGGTCACCTCAACTATGGAATGTTCGAAAAAAGTCAAGGACCCTTGCCCAGTTGGCCCTGAGAAAGCGCAGTTTTGTTTGGGCCCCTTAAAAGGCAGAACTTTGAGGGTGTCTCAAGTTGATTTGGGGGCTGTTTTCGTTAAACAACCGTTTAGAGGGTAATTTCGAGGATGCCATGTGAATATGCACAGTGCACGTTGGCGTTGGACGCCGCTTGCCATTCTTGCCCTGACCGCTGTTTTTTTTTTTTTCTTTGCACGCCCTCCCTCGTCTTTCCCCAAAGAAAACGGCGACACAGGTTGGCCATAAGCGATCCACAGGGCACTCGTGGCCAGCCGCAGGCGTTTGACCGGTTTCCCCGGTTCCTCACTTGTAGCTGACCTGTTCACTTTGCATGCGGCGCGGGGTTTTCCTCAAATGACCTGACCCTTTTCATAGCTCAGTTCCTCTTTTTGCAGTCCAAGTCTGGCTTCAGTGGGCGGTCGGGGGTATTGGAAGACCCTCTGCCTGCATCTCGTCCACGAAGGCTTACCGGATCCAGGTAAGAAACAAAACAAAGCGTTTGCCCGGCATACCAATCCCAGTGGAGAGTTTTCTGGGAAGCATTTCTGATCTGAGGGTCGAATTGGGCAATCCGGCGCCCCAAGGAACGCCTGGGTCTTTGTCACAAAATTGCTTCCGCCATCCTCCAGAACCACCCACAAAGGGGTCCACCATTTTGACAACCCCCGCCCTTTGCGTGTAAGAAATCGGGATTGTTCCCAGGTCAGGTCGCCGTTCGCCCTGTCGCGGCCTTGCAAACACCAGTTTTTATTAGAAATATGGATGGGAGAAACTGGCGGTTCTTTCTTGTTTTACTAGCGAATTCGAATTCCCTGTGAGCACCTAGCAAAGTTAAAGTTCATCAAATTTATTTGGGAGCAAACTGTGGTCGCACGTGGGCAGTGTTCAATTTATTCCATATTTATCGAGCATATCACAAGCACGTACAGATCACTACCTGAGTTTCTGCGCGTTATACTTTTTGCGAAGACCTTGCTGGTGGCAACAAAGTTTGGATTTGCTGTGGCCAATCCACTCAGGAAGTGAGATACGCGTTTTTGACTGTGGCATCTTCTGCCGGTGGATTTGATTTGGCGTTACTCTCCTGCGACTTTCCCGGCCGAGGCCAGTGAAAGTAGTGCAAGAGTTACCAGTGCCATGGCCCAGATGTGGAGGCCTCAGAGAAAGCTTACGTTGACCTGGATCGAAGTAGAACCCGTCCTCAAACAGGTGCGTCGATGAACCACCACCAAAAGTGGTCTGAACCCTCATACGCGGGGACACCAAAATAATAGTTTGTTTGTTTTTTGTGGATTTCCCTCGGTTTCTTGCTTACCCCGGTTGGTCCTTCATGAGTTTAATCTGTTAGTACTCTGTTGACATTCTACAGGGTCTAGAAAGTACAACTCGTCCTACGAATAGGGGGGGTGATGAAGAACTGACAAAAGTGGTCTGAACCCCCAAAAGGGGACACACCACCCAATCAAAATCCACCAGGGGTGTAACAAAAAGCTGGGGGTTCAGTACGGGTTCGCCTTGCCACAAGGGGACAAGGCGCTTCTTGGGTCCATGAAAGGCGACATCCCAAAAAAAGTTTGTCAGCCAACGGGTTTAACTCGAATGACGGGCACGCCACACGGCGGCTTTGGCGCAGCTCGATGGGTCCGCATGACCAAACAGAGTTTCGAGACCCCGAGCACTTTGGCCTTTTGCAGGACCGCCCTACCGTGGATGGACAGAATCCATTTCGCACCACTTTGAAGCCATGGGAAACCATTTATGGTTGGTATTTACAGGGGAGTCATCATTCCAGGGTTTGTTAGGTGGTGCAAGATTTCGTCCATCCACTATGAATTGTTTGCCAGGTTGATTAATTCGGCACTGGTTGAAACTGCAGAACGTGTGATCAAGAGAGGCCGAACTGGCAACCAAAGAATATCAACCGGACCCGCCCTTCTTCAAACCCATGCTTTGCAACCATCCTTCGAGCCAAGTGATGTCGGTGAGTTGTGGCATGTTGTGGCCCGACAGGTCACGACGATAGGCGGGGGTTGTACCAGGGAAACCCAACTCTGGTTAGATCAATTGTTTTTGTTTGCTTCCCTCAGGGGGCAAAGGTTCATCCCCAGTTCCTTTTTGACCTTGTTGGTGCTCCATCATTTTCCCTTACCAGTTGTTATTGTGTTGTTTTTTTTCGGGCAATGCGGGGTCATCTCAAGTCAGCTTCCCTCTAATTGGTGGTTTGGGCCGATGGTTTGGCGCTTAAGCGGTGTCCCAAGAACCAGGGGTTAATCAGAGGGCAGCTCATTAAATGAGCTCATTCTCTCGTGGCTCAAGCGGCCCGAGATTCATTACCCGGCTATCGACTGAGATCAAGAGATGGTCCAACAGCTCGGGGAACACCGCACCTGACCTGCAGAGATTCCTGGCTGGCAGACCCTGAAACAATCCAACGGAGCTTGGTTCACATTCCCAGCAGAGGGCCAGTGACTTCACATTTGTCCAATCGTTTGGGCGAGAGAAACCAAGCAATCTTGCCTCATTTCAGTGACTGATAATACCCACCCTCATTAATAGGTCCCAAAAGCGAAGCCTTGTTAGCCCCTCTTGGCGTGTTGGCTTGGCTTGGCCTGGCTGGCTGCTTGCTTGAGACTCCTTTCGGCTTGCGACTGGCACTAGTTTTCGGGTTGCCTATCAGGAATGCTTTTTAGGCAAACCACAGTTGGTGCTTTGGATTGGTGGTGGGGTTTGCACCCCCCACAAAGTCGAGGAAAGCTGGCCTGTGACAGTTGGTACTTAGCTTCTTGGATCATTGACCCCCAACCAGGACCAGCGATAGAAGGGGATTCCACACCTGAAAATGTTCAGGTACCGTTTTCCTCAGTCTGGGCGGACATGTGTTTTTTCCATGGTTTCAGCACCCCATTTGCAGCCAAAGCAATTCGAACTTGTCTTGTTTTTCAATTCGCCCAACAAAACACCGTCAGGACCATGGGTGCCTTGGTTGTTTTGGTAGCAAATCGATGGCCCTGGTAGGCCTGGTTTCCCAATCTAGGGCCATTTCTTTCCCCAAAAGGACACCAAGGACCCCCTTGGCCCAAAAGGTTCTTCCCAAGTTGGATTCGCTTTGTGGCCTTCGGCCACCCTTCGGAGCCGCGGGGCTGGGATTTGGGATGGCATTTGTCTACTTGGGTGCTCGATGCAGCGAGTTAGGAAGTTGTATCGGGCAACTATAAGCCCCCCGTGAATGTGGAGTTCACCTTCTGGTTAGTGGCTTATAACCCAGGCTAAGCACTTACTAACACGAATCGAGCATCCAAGTAGCAATGAAGCCGAAGGCGGAGCTTACCAGGACTGTTCTAGGGGTCCTTCCCCATTCTTTCCAGGGATCCTTCTTTCTAGAAAACCTCCGGAAACCCAGGCAAAATGGCCGGTTTTTGGAAAGAACGATGCTTGAAAGGAATGGGAAATCAAACCTTAGAACTGTACGGACATGGTCGGTCACTTGTTGGGGCTCGCAAAAGGCCACCTCCGTGGTTCCAGAGGCTCCGCTACGAAGCCGGCTCGACCCCCTCAGATCCGCCGGACCTCCCCAATGCTTCGGATGCTTCGGGGTTTTTGGGTGGTTGGCCAGCCAGAGGGGCGTGTATTTCGGCACTTTGGCTTCGACCCGAACCATCTGGGTAAGGGGGAATGGCAATACGAACCTTCTTCTTTTTTTGGAGTGGAGCAGCCAAGCGACGGTGCCGAGGCAAGGTTCCTACAAAGGATGACCTGGTGCTGGCGGTGTCCCACGCCTGGTCCCATCAGTTGCACCCAGATCCCTTGGGCCGCTCAGTGTGGCTCAATTCAGAGTGGGAGGTCTTCCGATGGCGGCTTCCTTTTGCCCTATCCCAAAGCTGGGAGGTCTTTTTGTCTCAAATATTTATACTCCTCCAATTCGGGGACGGCAAAAATCCATCGATTGGAGCCTCGGGGTAGTGATAATTCACCTCACTGTTCTTGGTCTGCGCGTTTGGTTCAAGAAGGGTTAGGGTCTGCTTAACACTGGGCCGATGACTTTGTCTTGTCAAAATTTGACGCTGGGAATGTTTTCTTTTAGCCTGCCACTTAGGGTGGCGCTTTGAAGAGCTAGGTGCTGCTTTGATCCCGACGAATCTGGTTTTCAAGTCCCCCACAACCCCATTCCAATGATTTAACGATTTTCTGTTCAAGATGGGACCCAAAACGGGATACCCCCCTATAGGAGATTCCTCTACAACTGGCTTTGCG